GAAGACACCCTTCACGCAATCTTGGCATCGTGGTGTCTTCTCACTTACCCCCCCGAAGTACAAGTATGTGCGTGGTACAAATTCAGCTGAGCCAAGCTGCTGACAGCCAGTCCGTAGCCAAATAATTGAAGGTGACAATAGTAACGTAATATTGGTTAGAGTGTGTGTGTTGACAAGAGGATGAGCCTCTCTCCCCCACGCCCATCATGATAACCACACCCAGATACTCTACCACCCTACATCCTACATACCTCATGTGTCAGTCACTACCGATCCAAGCAACTTTGGATCGTGGCTTTCTCGCAGAACACTAAGGAAACGTCATTCCAGCCAATTAAGGTTATAGACCTAGACCGTGCATCGAGGGACAGGTCTAGGCTCTTTATCACCATGTCACCCTTGATTACTGCGCTGTCTTGGAGAATCTGATAACCACTTCTTACATTTCTATCGTCTATCGGGGCCAATCGCTTCTCTGGCCGACGTTGAAACTTGGTATGTAGGTACATGTAGGTATGTATTTACGTATCGGTAACGTCGAGGACACTATCTTGTCTGATCTCTTCCTTCATTCCTTATTGTCTGTCTGCCTTGGTATGATATTAATGCAACACCCGGCTTCTGGCTGTATACTAATGACAATCCAGCCTAGGGAGCTCCTCTACTTCATAAATAATAACTACAACGTATCGATTTGTCTTGCCCGGAAAGTTCGAGACGACGATGCATTTCTACATTTCAACGGCTCTGTACAAATATAAGTACATGTAACCAACCATGATCATCGGGAAATCATCGGGACAACAACCACTCCTTAATTTTCCTCGATAAGTGTTCGGCGCAAAGACCCCCCCCCCCCCCCACCTCTCGGGGAGGTAGAGCAAGAGCTGTTCCCCCTTTAGAATATCTATCCTCTACATACTTCTCGACCCGAGGGAAGAAGAAAATAAAATACAACTCCTCGATCCTTAACTTCCCTTATTAAACAAACAAACCGGGAAGGGAAGGGGCCGGGACCATGTACCATCACAACTTGACTTGCAAGAGAATGGAAGTAACTATCCTTTCTTGTCTTGTCTTGTTCTGCCCTATGCAACTACCGGCAGCACCTGTCTAAAGTTGCTAGACGAGACGCAGTATCACTCCCGGACCTGCTGCGTTCACGCGTAAATTTTCTCCTGGAAGTCTTCACCGGTCCTCAAGAGGGATATTAGGAGGGGAAAGGGGGACCACAACGAATCACCAGATATCACGCACAAACCTCATGACCCAAAAAGTGCATGGTCACCTGTCAACAGCTTAAGAGCCTCATCCCTCACCTTATCCCCAACCAGTTTGATCAAAGTCTTCGAAGTCACCTTTCATGCTCTACATAATTAACACACATATAATAAATAGCAACCGTATCCCCTCCCCCTAGAGCACACTCTACCTTGCCGGAAAATCACAGGATAGAATGTCTGTTCCAAATGCGTATCTATGCAGTGCAGTACAAAGTAAGGGATCGAGTCACAATGGTCTTCTTCGGTGAGAGCTTGAACCAGATGCTGGGGGATATCTAGCTGAAAAGAAACAACAACAACCGGAGTGTCTCTGTGTAGCCATAAATAAACAAGAATTGAAACTGGACCTCGCTTAATCTGCAGATCTCGGATGGCGTGTTGATAGAGGACGGGCGGACCCTGCAGTACAATAAGGTCCAGCTAGGGGACGTTGTTTGCCTACTCCACCTCTATGAAAACTACATGTAGATGTACCTAGGCATCTATAGTGTACATATTTCTGCATGAGCCGCTGAGTGCAAGGTGCCGAGGATGTCGGGTATCTCAGCGGTCATGTATGCATTTGTGTACCATTATGTAGAACGTACCTACAGCCACTCAGCAAAAGTGTTCGTGATATAGTTTTAATGTCAGTGCGCAGAGTGGCGCACCCGTTATACTGATGTTATTAAAGTTGAGATTCTTTTTTTTTTTTTTAAATCATGTAGTTTTAATTAAATAAAGTTGAGATTCAAAACAACGAAAAATATATAATATAGTTTGTGACTATATATAAAAAGAAGATAGGTCATTGATCTTATTTTTCATTAATTTGGGCGCCATTGGTCACTGGGAAAGTCTTCTCTTGGGGGGCTCTTGATGGTCCGCTGCGGTTACATATGGAGAAATGTCTCACTCCGAAATCGGAATCACGAACACTTTTGCAGAGTGGCTGTACATTGTACGTACTTGTATATGGACTAAGGGCAGTTTCAGTCTGACAAACCGGGCGGAGTGTTCGTAGGGGAAGGGGTGTTCTCCCCGGAGTGCGCGGCTTTGTCGGTAATTCGGTATGCCTGCTGGCGCCTCATCTGCAGCACACCGGGAATGCCGAAACCAAGTATCCTGGCAACGGGCGATATCGAGTGACAAATTATGATTCAACATGTGTTTTCCTTCCCCACCTTGACATCAACAAACTTCTCAAAGCCTTTGTAGAAGGATGATTGTACCTCCCTTTTTATAAAGTGCCCCGATTTTTTATTCCAACAGGCCACGTGCAGCGTTGGCTATTTCGTTTTGATACTCGGTATATGTTGCGAGTGAGAAGACATGTTCGAAAATTAGTAGCTACCACCGGCCTCCAAATATGGTACTCGATAGATTAATAGCTCGAGCTGTATCTATAGATCACTTGCAAAGCGAAATCGACCGTTCTAGACCCGCCTTTGTTTAGGAATCTAGGCCTCTTTCATCGCCATGGATTCGGGCCGTTTGGCAACCGTGGGGCCGGAAAAGTGGGATTGACTGAATTGAGAAGAGGGAGGGTCGGAATGTGTGCTGCGGGGGTGTGAAGGGTCCCAATGGTCTGCGTTGCTGCCGACATCATCATGCCTGTCTATCCATATGGTGTCTCTCGCCGTTCTTTGTTGTCTTAGGGGACGTGTAGTAAGGTTGCCATGTGGGATATAGATGAGTGGAAAATAGAGTTATGACCTTGGGCTTGACATTTGGAGGAATTCGACATTGAGAATGAGAACGTGTGAGGACCGTTGCCAAGCCGGGATACCTACATAGGGCCCCGCTTATTGTTTTTTGTGGGGATTGGTCGTCGGTATGGTAGCCAACAGTGCTAGTAGTCCTAGCCGCGAAAGAATATGAGTGATAGGATTGATTCAGCTCATTCATTAGCTGCCATGGCTTGGGGCGAGAAAAGATATGTAGTCATTATATCTGAAAAGACTTTGGTTCGGTATGGCACTTAAAGGGAGGAGAGAGAAAGGGGACGAACGAAATCCCAAACATCCTGTGATACCTCCTATTTGAGTTTCACGAGGCCTCTTGAGCTTCAACTATTCGTGAATGAATGGATGAGCAGTAATATCCGACCAGACCCGCGGTCGTCCGCTTTGCGCTGCCTTTGTCCAATCCCACACTTACATACTTTGCCTCGCCCGTCCATCCCATTTGCCTGCCACGTCCGCGCTCCCGTCACAGCTACATGTATGTGGGGTGATAACTGCCGTGACCATATTCCTGCTCCACCTCTCTCCATCGTCTTCCTCCTCGGGTGGTTTCCTTGCACCCGCTTTGCCTGCTGCTGCTGCTCTGCTCTCCAACACCTGCTCTCCAACGCACGCGAGAGTTGGTGTTTACCTATTCCTCCTTTCCCAGTCCTCCATTCCCAGTCCTCCATTCCAGCCTTTCCCAGTCCTCCATTCCAGCCTTTCCCTAATACCTCCTCTAAATATCGCCAGGGAATAATAATATTTCGAGAAGACTAGAGCCAAGCAACCGAGTAACCGCGAAAATAATATCTTTGGGCCTGTGTCTAGTGTGATCACACCTCTTCATCTCGTTCATTCATAGTTTCGGCTTCCCCTCCCCGGAAGCTTGGGGCGACAAAAAAAAAACCTGTTTCTTATTTCTCTCCCTCTCCCTCTCCCTCTCGTTCCCTCTTCCTCGAGTGGGGGCTCCATCATACATACATACATACATAACATACATACTTCATACATACATTCGTTTATCCATTCATTCATTCAGACAGCTACACAAGTGACAGCCATCAAAATCAAGGCCGCTGCTGCAGACAGACAGACCAGACAGAGCAAAGAGAAAGGAAGATCAGAGAGAGATCGAGGAGAGATTGTGTATCCACGGGACGCAAAGAGAGATTGAGCAGCAACCGTCGTGGACAGAATTAACAGAGGTGGACAAACTGAGCAAAGGGCTGAGCACTTAAACTCCCCCTGGATCAAGACACGGCAACCTTTTGGTCGACGACCCGCTGTGACAGATATCGCATATCGCTGTACCGATTTGCACGATTGACCGAGGGGAAAAAAGGTTTCTGCGTCTTGGGGGTTAGGAGGGGAAGCGGAGACTGATATATATATAAATATATCTCAAGGTAGAGGTATATAAGTATAGAGCACCTATATATATACATATACATCTGACGCCGAAGATTACAACTCGACGCCCATCTCTTTTTTTTTTTTTTTTTTTTTTTAATTTATAATTTATCTGAGCAGCACCAGCATCAGTGAGCAGCTGAGGTTGTTGATCAAGCGACCGCCTTGCATCACGGTACTCTGTTTTCGCGGTCCTCAGTAAACCTTCACCGCCGGAGAGTTCCTAGAATACATACCTACGAGGGCCCGGATCATCTAGGGGCACCAAGAAGTCCCCATCCCCCCTACCTAACTATATACTACCTACTCTACCCAAACCCCCCAAACCCCCCACTCTTATTACGGCCGCAAGATCTCCCGATCCATTATTATTCACACATCATATCAAACCACACACGTACCTACCTACTCCTGTACTTATAGTAGTCGTACCGTCTACTACTTTACCTGTCCGCTTCCCCGCCAGTGCCCACTAAGCCTCCGTGATCCTCCAAGGGTCCACCCCTGGTTCCCACCCGCCCTCCATCAAAAACGGAATTGGGTTGTTATTTGCGACAGAACTTAGTTAGCAACACAAGCAGTTGAAAAACAATATCCCAAGATGATTACGGCCGCAGGTGCCGGTGCTTCCTTCGTCGCCGTTCCTTCAAAGAGACTGAAGCCAAAAACTCCCAGATCGCCTCGAAACACCACAGTGAGTTCTGCCCCAGGTTCTCGATCCAATAGCCAGCAATCTCGAATACGATCTCCATCGTCCCCTCCACATCCACAAGAAGCAGCAGCCCCTAGCACCCTCGGCACAACTCCCAGTTTCCAGTCTTTCCTGTTCTCCAGAAGCTCTCAGTCGCCCTCTTCCGAGCCTGCCGTACCAGTCCCCCACCATCATCTACCTATCTACGAAGAATCCGACAATTCAAAGAGCTTCTTGGAAGAGGATTTCTTTGGACTGCACCCGCTTGCGCAAACAATCGAGGATCAGGATCACGAACCCCCCTCACCAAAATCATTTTATAGCGCGGACACTACTAGCACAACAAGCACAACAAGCACCACCAAAGCCGGAGGTCGATCTTCCGAAGATTCCACAGTGTTTATCACACAACTTCAGCATCCACCTCCCCGCAAGACTGCCCGAAAACTACAGCGGCCGAGACCGAGCAGTCCCCCGTCAGCTTCCTCACAGACCAGTCTCTCATTTATATCTCCCGGTACCTCTCCGACCGGGTTAGGAATCGGCCCCTTCGCAAATTACACAGGCAGTCATCTATCTGGCCATTCCATAACTGGCTCACAATCGCAATATGGTGAGCATTATACAGGTCTAAAAGATTTTGAAAATGTGCGTGCTTTTTTCTCTATCGTTGACGTCAGCATGCCTATATTTATGTGTCGGAGGTCCTATATCCTCGTTAATGCATGATCACCGGAAAGCTGACATTCTCCTATCCTTTGAATCTTTTCTTGCGCAATGTAGATGTCTTCAAACAATTCCACACGCGACATCTGTATCGCCGTTGTAGGGGCACGGGGCGTAGGAAAAAGTACCTTCATTCAAAAAGCCTATGACCTGAAATCTCCATCTACCAAGGATATGGTATCTTGCAAGTTTATGACCGTTGAGCGGTCGCAGTGTAATGTCATACTGGTCGAGCTAGATTGGGCGAAACTCGATTTCGGGTCTCAGCCGTTGGTTTGGCCGCGGGTGGGTTTTCTAAATTTCTGCCGGCTGCCCTATGGGGCCGAATCGCATAATCATTGGGAGGTTCCTTTTCGCTGATGGTAAAACTAGATGGCGGCAGATGGCCAGAGACTACCATTCGTTGACGGCGTACTTATTTTATACGACGTGACCAACCAGGAGAGTATTTCAAAACTGTCCGAATCTCTCGGTGAGTGAAGGCCTCCAGCTGTCATCCGCCTGACCTACTGCCCTTTCATATTCTTGCGGATCCCCACTTCATTTCTCTCTCGACTTTCTATCATAGGTATTGTTTCCTCGCTGATCATGGTTTTGAATAAATTAGATGCACTCGCAAGGGCTCTTCTCCCGGCCCTGGTGGTCTCGTGCAAATGCGACGCACCGCAGCGCCAGCTTAACCCCAGCAATATCGAGAATTTGGGAGCAGTTGGCGGATATGAAACAATGCAAACTTCGATTGCTTCGCCTGATTCCCAAAAGAAATGTTTGAATGTAATCTTGAACATGATCGTCAGGAAAAATGGTTTGTGCGCTCCTTTCTATTTTTTGGTTTTTGTGGTATTATTTTGCGGCTTTGTTGCTTTGTTGCTTTTGCTTTGTTTTCGCCGGTCTTTATTGTTGCCCTTTTGTGGTTACGGTAAAATTGGATAACGATCCCCCCCCAAAGCCCAATAAGGATAATTGGCGTCTGCAGGATGTGTTTATGTTTTTGTTTTTGTTTCGGTTGCGAGTACCACTTTCCCTATCAGATACAGTACTGTATCTATTTTCCGTCACCTCGCTCCTGCCAGAATGCAAGTGCGGGAAAAAGGATAGAGTACCGTGCTGGGGACCGTCAATCATCTCTCTCCTGTCGCTTGACTGGGATGATGATGGTTTTATCTTTTGTACTTGACAGCCGCAACTTTGCGTTCTTTTCTTTCCGTTCGCGGTGCCAGCACTCCCTCGTCTTCAGGATTCATAGATTTGTCAAAGACCAGAGAACAAGGATACTTGTTTACGGCCTTTGCAAACTTCACGATTTCCATCCTATCTATCCTTCCACCCTCTCATTTTTGACTTTGACAGCGTATATATTGAGTGACATTTCTTATTATCTGCCAAATGCTAATAATTTGGTCTGCGGCTCCAGAGAAGAGTGCGCGACATTTGAATGGTCGGCGACGTGCGAATTCGTCTGCGACGAACAATAGTCGAACGACATCTCCGAGACCATCAACCGGTCGGAGCGGACATAGTCGCGCAAGCTCCGAATTCTCGACAACATACCTAAAGGACGGCTCAGAGAGCTCATCCCATGGACATTCAAGATTGACGAGGTCGCCAATCAACCCTGCGCTGGGAACGCTAGCACTCAACAGTTCAACCTCTTTATCTAGCGGGCAGCTTTTTGATACAAGACCTCAGAGGGTTTCCGGTGGGGCGACGCCACAAATAACACTTTCTTCAACTGGAACTGGAGCGCCATATCTGGAGGTTGTATCGGATAGCCCGTTCAGCATTACACAACAGAATCTTGGAACGGCAAGTCTGCGTTCTAACTCTATGTCTTACCAAGATTTAGATCGGGCTCGAGGTTCATCATTCCTAGATATGGACGACGAAGATACGATTAAGGATCCGGATGATATACCGCTACTGGATCGTGAAAGTGGGGTGGATGAGTTTGATGATGGGGACAAACCGGCACAGAGCAGGGGTTACACGTGGGACGAGCTGGTTGATAGGCTACTCCGGCAAACAATGTCTCGGGGCGATCAGGACTTCGCAAAGATCTTTTTGTGCTTTTTTCGAAAATTCGCACCTCCGCGAGACCTTCTCAATTCGATATTGGACCGATTTGATCAGGCCAATTCCGATCCGATAGCGTTGCATCGGATTTCGGCTCAGCTGCGGTACTGTACCATTTTATGTCAATGGGTCACGTCACACCCGGGAGATTTTGCACACCCAAAAACACGGCAGAGGTTGATAAGTTTCTTGAATGTGATTATGGCGAACAGGAGCTTGGCGTTGTTGGCAACTGAGATGAGGAAGACTCTAGCGCAAGGACATGAAGATGATGACAGTATATGGGCAATTTCAGACTCTGACACCGAGAGGCGAGATAGTCTGAGGAGTTTCTTGACAACCCATTCAGTATCACAAGATAGTGTAACAACCACAGACGGGTATAGTGGTATCCGCGCTGCCTCAGATGGAGCGCTCAATGTCCCTACAGAAACAGACTTCAACAGAAGAAGAGCATCTGAAGTTCCCACAATGTCGACAGTCAACACCGCCTCGTCACAATCGTTGCTGCGGGGAGAGGGGTTTATCTCATCGATGACACCTTGGAACTCACAATATGACTTATTCATGGGAATACCGGACGAAGATATCGCATATGAATTGACAAGGATGGACTGGCAGGAGTTCTCAAAAATCAAGCCAAGAGATCTAGTGCGTCATGTCAGCATCCCAGCAGATCAGAAAGACAAGTATCCGAGTTTGAAACATGTCAATCAGTTGATCAGCCACTTCAACCACGTTGCGTACTGGGTGGCTAGTGTAATACTCGAAAAGCCAAAACCGAAACACAGGGCAAAAGCTCTAGAGAAATTCATGTCCGTCGCTTGGGTAAGTAAAGCTGTCAACATATTACATATTTAGTACAGAGAACTGATCGCGCCGCAGTCACTCAGGCACATGAATAACTACAATGCCCTTGGGGCTGTTATAGCTGGCATAAATGGCACTGCGGTTCATCGGCTAAGTATCACGAGGGATCTCGTGAACCAGCAGGCGGGTAGGAATTTCATGAGGCTGGAGCTATTAATGGGGACGCACATGAGCCATGCTAAATATCGACTGGCATGGGAAAACACTTCGACACAACGGGTTCCATTCCTTCCACTTCATAGAAGAGACTTGGTATCTGCAGAGGAGGGAAATAGAACATTTCTCCAGGATGGGGAAAAGATCAACTGGAATAAGTTCCAGGTCATGGGGGATGTCTTGATGATCATTGATAAGAGCCAAGCAACCCCTTATCATGACTTAGTCAGGAACCAGTTGGTGGAGAAACTGATTAGGGATGCTGTGTCGAGTATGAACGATGATGTATGTTTCTCGGGTTTATGTACCTGCGCCTTCATTTGCATGTAACTGGAATCCAAGAACTAACACTCTGCAGGGGCTTTATGAAAGGAGTCTTCAGCTCGAGAATAAAGGAGCCAAGGAGAAGATTAGGGGAAGATTTTGGCCGTGAATCGTGCTACGGAACAGGTTAAAAGATAACCGATATGTTAAAAAGTGAGCGAAGGTATTTCGTCATGACCATCACTCTCAAACTTGAGTGGCATATCCTAACTCGGAGGGTTTGGCAGTTTTTGTTGTTTTCGACCTGCTTTCCGGGTTTATGGCGTTTTTGACTGATCATTTTGAAATTATTTTGGGAAATGCTTGGGTTTTTATTTTCTTTACTTTTATGCTCGCTAACGAATCACGGCATACATTTTACTTATTTTGTTTGTATTTTGAGGGCGAGTGTTCATGACTGAATTTTTTTTTTAAGGGAGGTCTTGAGTTTTCTGCATACGGGGCATTTCTTCTTAGCTTCTTAACCGCCTTATCCTTCTCACCTTATGCCTTCCCCCACAATTTTCTAAGTCTTGATAGCAACGGCGTTTGGGGAATGCATTCTTTCTCTGGTTTCTATTCTTTGGACGCATGGTTTGGTCGAGCGTTACCTAAGTAGCGATTGACGAAGGTGACAAGACTTCTGCTCACAAAACAAAGAAACATCTTTCCCCAAGGCCCAGGCCTCTATCGCCATTCTTGGACCGATACAAAAACAGTAGAACATTTTCGCACAATAGGTGTAAACTCAATGAAGTTAGGCAATTTTGACTCGTGCTATCACGATTTTTATATATTTCCTATGTCAGCCAAACGTGAGAGGAGGCGGAAGAGAGCGGGTAGTTCAGGGGCTATTGCCATAACTGTAAGGTTGCATGCAATTAAACAAACAAAAAAAAAAAACTCGTGCTATCACGACTTATCACTCGCCGGATAATCGAGTGATATATAATGAAGCTGAACACGTATTTCCCGGCACTTCCCGAAGACAAAGGACATTGGAATGTGACCACCAAACGTAGATACAAAGTGCCATATTTATCTCACCGTTTTACAATGCTACAACTACAGTAGAGGACCTGACTACATGTAGGTATGGGTCAAATAATTGAAAGAGGTCTCTTAGCACGAGTCACACTCTTCGCACCGACATGAAGTGATCACCAGACGAAGGGTTTCTAAATATCTTTCTAAAGCCGTTTCGGTTGGAATTATCGCAAGAATGTTATTATGTATAGAAATACGATCTGATTATAGCATAGAGTGGGCGGGCCTGGGTATGATAGCACATAGCGAGCCGTCCAGATTTTACCGGCATGCGTAGAATAATGCTTGACAATCGGCTCATCTTGAGCACTGATGAATACTGCTGCTCAAGGTTCAGCATAAGGACGCGCCCAAACCGAGTGATATGTTATGATCCGAATGGATTGAGCTCATATGAGCTCTCGCAATGCAACTCTAGACAATTAGTGATGATGATTGGCATCACAGTACCGATATTAGTGGAGGTATCGATTAACACCTATGTACATATGGAAATAGAGGTTATTAACATGGCACTCTCTCTCCCACTGGGTCGATTGAATCTGGGAAAATAGCCATCCATCCTCCTCCCCGCCTGTCGCACCATGGACTTACATGCTTTTGAACCATCGTGTCTCCATTTTCATCAAATTCCGGCATTGCAAAGAAAATAAAAACACCAGCACTCAGTCTACTTTACAATGAAAAAGAAAAAAAGAAAAAAGGAAAGCTTCCATTCATACTCATCAACAACTCCACGCCCCTCCCTCCCTTACGCAAACACATGCTCTCATAGCCAAGGTCAAAGGATTCTCTCCTCTGTGAAAATTTCTCGGTATGTGAGTAGATGATCAGACAGCCAACCCTTATTAATAATAGAACACAAAGAAAAGCACAGCATCAAACAACCTGATAGTAGAAGAAAGATGAACCAGATCGAAATAAAAGGAAGAAAAGCCAAAACCGCAAGTATAAAAAATACACACCACTGCACTTTTTTTCAATGCATATATCCGTTTAAAACCTGTACTTGTCTTTCTTCCTCTTCGCGTTCTCCTCATCTCTCTTCTGCCTCTTCCTACTCTCTGCTGCGATCATATCACTCAAGTCCTCCTGGAATCCTTGGCTTTCCCTTCTTTGTGCTTCCTGCTGCGCTTCGTATTGTGCCTTTACAGCTTCACTACTTAGGCCGTCCGAGTTTTCAAGCTCGCTAGGATCCAATGTTACTTCAATGTCACCAGGCTTCTTGCGCTGTACATGTTGATTAGTAAATAGCCTCAAAATAGCTGGGGGTGAAGAAACAAACCTTTCGGTCTTCTTGTCCTAGCACGGGTAGATCTGTACGAGTCGCCTTTGAGATATCATAAGCGCGCTCCCCTCCGAAGAAACCCTTGGCACGGATGTTTTGTTCAGGCAGCACAGTGTAAAGGCTCTTCTGAACTGTGTCTTCCTCTGTCTCTGTTCCGTCCCTCCTCTTCCGCAGCTCAAATCCACCATCAACAGGCTCGAATTCGCTGGGTACGGCTGAGACCATGCCGGAGGGTGTATCCATTCCACTCGGAGTTGTGAGACCCTCTGTAAATTCCTCATCACCCTCTTCCTCCTCTTCATCGTCCTCTTCCTCCTCCGAAGAGGAGCCATCTTCCTCTGGTACCAACTCACCCCACAATGTCTTCTCTACAGGTTCACCTGTTTGCGTGGGCGCTTGTGCCTGCAGGACACCAAACACATCTCCGTAGAGTGGACGATTGTATTCGTCCGTGGGCGGTTTTCCATAACCACCTGGGTGGAAACCCCACTGTGCGCCTGCTGGGATCGGGGCGTTCAGACCTGGAATCTTCAGGCTCGGATAGCTAGGCGGGGGTCCAAACCGTTGCATGTTAATAAGCCATGGTGGCGGAGCGCCTGGGGGTATATTCAGTGCCTCCTTTAGTTCCTCACTTAGTTCGCCGGGCCGTCTATCCTTGAGATTGGTCTCGTATTCCTTCCCCTCGTAATAAATCTCCCCATACATCGTCAATGGTGGTTTCGTCTGGAATCTAAAAAACGCATCATGAAGCTTCTGGTAGTCGATATCTAATTTTCCCATCTTTGGCTGAACACGTTCCCGAATCTTAGATTTTAATGTTTGGGCTTCTTCTTTCTCCTTCACTGAGTCGCGCATCTCCATGATACCTGTGTCTCTAATAAACTTCGGTAGTTCAAAGGGAGGTTTCTCCATTCCTCGCTTTGACGAAAGATATTCGCGTTTGAGTGACCAGTGATTAGGTACGGGTACGCAATTGCGGTACGATTTGAGATGAACGAGGAGGCGGGGGTCTTGGGCCGAGGTATCGGTCCATTCGACTGTTTCGGGACGTTTAACGAGTGCCTGGGAGCATGTGTCAGTACTGTTTGAATTCTGCCCCCTTCCCTTTTCTTATTCTCGTTGACTCAAAACATATGATGTAAATGCTGAATTCGCCACCAAAAACGCTGGATCTTGCTTCCGCTTGCTTTATGGATATCTACAGCATCCCCGACTCGTCAAGCAGAGATATCACGGTGCGTTACACAGACAGAGCTCTTCCTAGCCAAAGCCAGAGAGGTTTTCATGACTTTGGGGGAGGGTGGAGTTTAAGAGTCTGCGCATTTTCCGAGATATGTAGAGGGTAGAAAAGGGAGGATAAGACAACGCACCTTGAGCTCGGCAACACTGAGCTTGTCTCTGGCCTTTCGCGCCTTTTTCGAGAGCTTCGGAACATCAGGATTCTCTTCAGGTTCGTCAGGTATCATGTCGTCTTCAAGACCCATGATCTCGCCTTTGTCCTCAATCGCTTTGGCATCCTATAATTTGGATTAGTTTAGAGATAGATATCAGTTATGCGTGAGAAGGGCACAAACATCGACAACGTTAAATTTCTGGAGAATCCTTTGGTACTCGGCGAAGTTCGGGTCGCTCTCGTCTAATTCCAAATCGCTGCTCTTGAAGTCAGGAGTGCTCTCCGGGACAAGATTAAGCCGCACATTCGAAGAGGCTGCAACCGATTCCTGAACGGCCATTAGACAATTATAATTAAAGCAGAAGAAAATAGACTCTCGAAAAAAGAGTCACAAGGAACACCTCATTGGTTTATACATACAGATTCACTCTCAGATTCTGTGACTACGCTCCCTTCCCGCTCCTGTGCCTTCCTTTGCTTCTTCTTCTCGCGTCGGAGCTGGTTCTTCCCCTTCTTTACAGCCTTACCCGTACTGGTTGTGGTTATGGGGGTGTTGCTAATCGCGGTAGGTTTTTCTGTGCCGTTGACAACCACGGCGGTTTTCGCGTCAGACGGGATCGCTTGAGGGGAGGAAACTGGTTCCATAGCGGCGACCATTTCGGGCTATCTTACTCTAGAAAAGAGTTACGGGGCGATATTTTTTTTGGAGAAGTGGCGATTGTTTGAATGAGTGACAGGCGGTAGTGGTGTGTTTGATTGACTTAGCTGGGCCGGAATATTGTTGAAGGAGGTGGGTGAGGTTTCGCGACGTATTATTCATGGGGTGTGGAGAGAATGATGTTGCAGGGGGGGTTACCCGGCCAGCTCACCTAACTAAAGTATGTAGGCTTAATCTGGGTTAGGTTATGGGATGTTTCGAGTTCGAGATTGGAGCTCTTCTCCTATTAACGACACGTCTCTTTCTCTATTCTTGTACACGCTCTCTCAGCCCTCACCCTCCACCAGTACCCACAGACTCTCACACTCCTTTCACTATTTACTTCTTGCTATTTATTTATATTATAACTTTGACTCTCGTTCTTAACAGTCTCCTGCAATGGCCCCAATACCAAAAGACAAATATTCCGTCATTCTCCCCACATATAATGAGCGCAAGAACCTCCCCGTCATAACCTGGCTCTTGGAAAAGACATTTACAGAACAGTAGTACCCCACCCCGCCTAACACAAAAGCACGGACATTAATATCTACTCCTTCACCTACAGCAAGCTCGACTGGGAACTCATTATTGTTGACGATGGCTCCCCCGACGGAACCCAGGAAGTCGCGAAACAACTTATCACTGCTTACGGCCCCAACCGCATCGTCCTCAAACCGCGCGCCGGAAAGCTCGGTCTCGGAACCGCGTATGTTCACGGGCTTCAGTTTGTGACTGGGAATTTTGTTATCATCATGGACGCCGATTTCTCCCACCATGTAATACCCCCTTTTTAGAGACTCCGGTGGTGCATGTAGTGACCCCTTACTAATATGGCGCGCGCAACACAGCCGAAGTTCATCGCAGAATTCATTGCGAAGCAAAAAACAAAGAATTATGACATCGTGACCGGGACGCGCTACGCGGGTGATGGTGGCGTCTACGGTTGGGACTTCAAGCGCAAGCTGGTTTCGCGGGGTGCGAACCTGTTGGCGTCTGTAGTACTACGACCCAATGTCAGCGATCTTACTGGAAGCTTCAGATTGTATAAGAAGCATGTTCTGGAGAAGGTCATCCAAACCACGGAGAGTAAGGGATACACGTTTCAAATGGAAATGATGGTTCGGTAAGTTCAAATCTATCCCCGCTTATAGCCTCTAAGGCAGTGAGCATTTGCTGACGAGTGATGCGTTTAGTGCGAGAGCGCTTGGGTACTCGGTTGCGGAGGTACCGATTAGCTTCGTAGATCGTATTTACGGAGATAGTAAGTTGGGCGGTGATGAGATTGTTGAATATGCGAAAGGTGTATTCAACCTATGGCTTAAGGTATAAATCTGACTTGGGGAATGGAGCGACGGGCGTAGTTTGTAAAATGATCTAATATTGTATGCCGTAATCATGTTTTTGCTGAGAATTTCCACCATTCCCATGTGTGTATTTTATGCCATTAACGAATGCGGCGGGCCCTAGGTTAACTATGACCTTTTCCTTAGTGTCGCCGGGGGTTGATGGGCTTGTGTTTGAAACTGGAGCGAAAAGAACAACCATTTCTAGGCTTCAAAAACGCTATACCAAGAGCGTGCACATGTACCTACTACAAGAGATCTCCTTACCCTCCTGTCGTTTGATCTCGTACCCAGATCCCGACCTTTTTATGTACTGGCTGTGTAGAACCCCAGACAGGGCCACTTTATGAGACCGTACCCGGAACGTCATTTTGAGGTCTAATACCGAGTGATTTTTCATGAGGTGTTTTACATGATGTCACCAATTCGGGATTAATTATACTCTCTAAGTTTCCCGACTATGCATACAAAGTAACTAAGTATGTCTCCCTTGTGAGGTGTCGATTGCAATAGTTACTCCTAAAATCATAGTCTTAGTTTAGTCAAATCCAGAAGCCGATTATCCGGAGATCAAAAGCACCCAACAGAGACAACGGAGCTGAGGGCCCCTAGGCCCCGTTATAATCACAACCCTGTTTTGAAAAGAAAAAGAAAGGAAGAAAAAAATATGTTTGGTGTGCACAACAACGTTGAGGATCTTTTTTAACGGCAAGATAGAACGTATATATATACACAAAAAAGGTGTTGAAACCATATGGTTCCCAACCCCCAAGGCCCCGACCCCAGGCCCTGTTTTGGCCTCAAATATTGCTAAACGGGCCAGGCAGCTCTGGCTTACTCTTCTCCCATGGCCACATCTCTCATAAACTCTGTTTCAATATTTCTCCGTTTACAATACACTAACGGAGATAGGGCAGAGTGAGTTTTTGGGCCTTTAAATTTATAAAGTTACTAGCTTATGAGGAGCAGGGGCTGTGGAGCAATTGGCAAGACATAATAGTAGAATATCACGATCACACAAATATCTTTGTTCTACAATATTAACGGACTACATGTATTTAGTCTTCATTTCGAACTAACTAACCAAAGTAAACTACAGAGCATAATTAATGGTAGGGGTCGCTCGTGCTCGTTGCCGGTAGAGATCATGAGCGGGCACAACCCACGAGTGACAGCTTATGAACATGGCACTGCCACATATGGTGCGCACACTCTTAAAGGTGATATGGCGGCATACGGAAGTGGAACAATTGTGGCTGCAATAGGGCCTCATGGGCCAATAAGAGGGCCCATTTCTAGCATTACTGCTACGGATCAGTCAGGTTTGCTTTTCTGGGGTATAAATGGGTATAATACTGTTCCACTTTGTTCAGTCTTGGCGCATTTTACATACAAAAATACACAATTTCAACTTCCTAAGGCTTTACAACCCAGACAGATATTAAAATTCTGCAACGATAGAACTAAACCTCATCACTAGTACTAGAGTTCTATCATTACGCTTTTTTTTTTACGGTTTTTCGTCGCAAAGTTATAAGCCATTGACATTTCGTCGCGATCCGCTACCTTTAAGCGTGGGCGCACCATACCTGCCACATTTTGAACGCCACACCAAAACCTTCAATCCCACTTCTTTGCATATCCCCCACCAAAAAAAAGCCCATTCGCACACGCCCAACAAACCCATCGCAATGTCAACCACCGCCCTCCGACCACTCCTCCGAGTCCCCACCTCAACTCCCTTCCAAGCACTCCGCCTTCTCCCCACACAATCCCGCAATGCTCGTCTCCTTCAGCGCCCCAAGCGCCCCCACCTCCTCGACCAGATCGTGATACTCTCCGACGGATCATCATACAAGCAGCTGACCACCAGTCCCAAGGGGGTCATCCGTACGACAAAAGATGTACGCAATCACCCGATCTGGAATGCGAGTGATGCGCTTTTGGCGGGGCTGGAAGAGGATGAGGCAGGAAAGTTGAAGGCTTTCAGGTTGAGGTATGGGCGTGGATTCGATATCGACGAGGAGGGAACCGAGGAGGACGATAATTTGATGGATCTGTTTTCGTCAATTACGGAGGAGCCGCCGAAACCAGCGCAGGTGGCCGCGGCACCGAAGGGAAAGGGAAAGAAGGGGAAGAAATAAGGACTTCGATTTGAAGGCTCTAGGGATGACATGTGTATATTGGCTGGGCTGTGTATCAACCACTGAGTCATTGTGGTGTTTTAAATTTGTGGTGTTTTAAATTTCTGGCGCATTCATCACCTGTATAAACAAAAGAAGAAAAACGGTTTCCATACTGAAGCTGGATCAGTTAATTTGACTACATATTCTGAATTTCCTTACACCCTATCATTGATCCGAAGCATCATATTCTGTAGGCAAGGGACCTTGATTATTGAAAATTGAAGGATCAGAGTGATATTACTACCAACGGCTGCTAATTGATAGGGTCTCTCTATAGAGCAAAATGGGTGGAATGGAAACGTGAAAGTGATAGGAGATCTAGAAACCACTTAGTATAAGTACATGTAGGTATATATGAAGCTCTGGCATGCCATATTACACCTTTTTTTTTTAAATGTATATATGGAGTACATGCGTCTTAGGTTATCCTCGTTACTTCAGTTTATGCTTAATATATATATATAATACTGAGACCTGTGTAACTAAATTAAGTGCATCACGTACTTGTATGTGCCTCTACAGGGTTATATAGGGCCCGGTCTGGCTCGTGCTTGCTTGAATTGATAGTCAACACGGCTCCGAACGATTGTACTCTAGAATCCACAGGTATCATTCCCGGGAAAAATTCTAACTCCTGTGTATATATATTCATTGCATAAATCTAACTACCAAGCTATCGTACAGTGTAGATATGTATTCGTGATAAGGCAATTGAGCGCCTGAAATCGGTCAACTGATTTAATATCCTAAGATGTAGCAATAAAAAAAAAGAGAGAAAAAAAATCAAAAGGCGCCTAAACTATGCCTTGGTCTCACCCCTCAAAAATGCATTCCCCCAAAACCTGACACCCTCAATGCCTACATCTCTGCACAACACTCCTTTCTCTTCCGCCATTTCTAACTCCTCACTTGCAACCCCAACACTCCACCCAAACCTCTCAGCCGCCTCACTGGCTGTGACACCTCTTCCCCACTTGCTCCCGGCATCAACATTGATCCATTCCATAATGCGTCTGATTGTTTCTGCATCAGTGCTTCTGGCCTCCTGCACAACCAGCAGCCCACTTTTAAACCTCCTCAATCGCACTGGCAACTTCAGTTTTTCAAATAGCTGTGCAGCCTTTTCCAGATCCGTAGGAGATATCAGATCGATCCCTCTAGCACGGTTGTAAACTGCCCACAAGTCTACAAGCGTGATAACGCCGCCTTCTTTCTTCAAAATGCTCCTTTTATCATCGGCTAGGAATTCGGCGACCTGGCGGGCGAGCTCTGATAGGTATAGGTCTGAATCTCCACTTCCACCAGCCCCGAGCATATCCCTAGTGACCAATCCCAGCGCCTGCGTCGAATTCGCAAGGGCGGCCTTGGCCTCCCCGTTCGCAAATGTGGGCGTAGAGGCTAACCTAACAGCAAAGCTCTCCGCAAGTGCGACCATCTCTTTTGCGCGTCCCATGAGCGCCTCCAGATCCTCGAACGCGTCTTCGATAACGACCTGGTTCTTCTTTCGTATATTCATACCCTGCCTCTCAAGTCCCGCAATGCCGACTACTCGTTCCATCCCACCGTTTGTGCCCGTGCTTGTCGTCGTACGGCCACTGGCATCGTTTCCTATATGGCCGCCACCCGGCGTTGGCACTGGTGGAGCATTTTGGAGTAGCCATTTCCGCTGCACGAGCGCACATTTAAGTTTTTCGTGGAATGTTCTGTCGCCACCGGCGCGGAAGGAAAACTTAACGAGCTCAACAGTCTCGCCTACGAGGCCGCCGCGATGTGCAGATGATATGGGCGCAGGGGAGTCGACACGCGGGATATCATTGGGGAGGTTGGGGGAGACGAGACGTTCACCACAGATCTCGCAGAAGGGGAGAGACGGATGGTTTAGGAATGTGCAGCGGGGGCACGCGAATGTTGCTTCGTCTTGTGGCACCGCTGCTGATGTTAGGGTCGTGTCAGAGTATGTACTTGACTCTCCACCGGGGGCGGAAGAGGGATATAGTGTGGATAGCGATGAGAGCGGTGTCGGAGACCGTGGTGGCTGCTGGAACGAGTTATCAAGTACTGTCGCGGGGGGGCGTATACCGCATGCTAAACAAGAAGGAATAGCTCCAGGAGCCATGACTCCTGGTGTGTAGTTGGATGGTACCGGGTTTGAGAACGAGCATATAGGGCAGATCCAAATACCAGTAGACACTGGCAGAGGAGATGTAGGCCTTATGAGCGGCGTCCCATTTCTAGGAGTAGATGAAGCGGAGGGACCTCCAGGAGAGCCAGATGAGATGGTGGGTTTTAGATGTAATGTGATCTTTGGAGAAGACTTGAGGAAGCCTGCCTGTTGGAAAATATCAATATATATATATATATATATCGCAACAGTTACCAATGGGGATGACAGACGTAGAACTCGATCCGATCAACATCTTTCAGGTCTACCGCGACCGAATATTTACGTGGGTCGTCATTGTCGACATAACAAGCGCGGTGCGAGGTGAGATATGTGCAGCCATTCTGGTAGTTCGGTATCTTGTATTTACTGCCACTGTATGAGCTATCTACGTCATAGCTATTCGGGAAAGCAAAGAGAAGCACAGTGATACCCTTCATAGAGACCGACTGCGTTTTGTACAAACAGCAGCGTCTCATCTGGTAGTAACATAGGGCGCGAAGCTGCAGTAAGATCTATTTGTGACAGCATGGAGCGTTGGGAAGGAGGATTGTAGTTGCTAGAAGGCGAATGGTGGAAGGTTCTTGGGGTAAACCCCGCGTTCTAGTTGTGGTTATCTGACATGTAGGTACACACCTGCCCCACGCAGAGTGACGCAGGTCATCTTGGGCGAAACACTGAACTGTGCAGGTATTGTAGTTTGAGATTCAAATTAGCGATGGCATTTGCTACTCGATCGTCTCAATTAGTAATACACAAATCCAACGTGGTTCATCAAGACCATTGGATTTCATAGAGGCGGTTGGATATCTTGGCTGCGTAACCTTAATTCATTCCCAAGTGCTCCAAAGCAGAAAACAAAAACCCCTAGAATCCCCCAGGGGAAAAACGAAAGCGCATATGTGTACCGGTTACGGCATGCTACACCTGATACAAAGAAAGAAATGGGGGTGTATGGTACCTAGTATAAAGACTTACACGTGCATAAGTACTACATACATGTATTTAGGTGCAATACTTAGATAACTCACCGGATATACCCATCTCCACATGATTATAGGTATAGATTGAGTAGCCGGCTGCGCAGGCTAACCAGCAACTTGTACAATTGTACATAGAGCACTTTCTTCCAATTGACCCGGAGTGGGGTCCACAAGAAAGTCATTTTGATCCCAGGGGTCAAGGATTTCTTTATTTTTTTATGAGTGGTTCAAAAACAAATGCATGCAGTGCCTGAGGCCGGCATGATCATCGATCTGACTCTAGGTATTAATTCCACCGAGGTTAGGGAATTTATATCGATAATAAGATCTAATAAACCCCCCCCCCCAAAAAAAAAAAAAAAAAAAAAAAAAAAAAAAAATAGAAACTCGTTAGGAGACGTAGCTACATAGATATGCGTAAGAAATATCTAAAATTCCGGGCTTACCCGAAATTCCAGACCATAAGTTCACGAGTTTTAAAACAACGTGCATGCATGCATTGGAATAAGTAGAGTACTATCATGTAGGTACTCCTCATGCCACATTTTCTGCAACTACCCCCATTGAAGGTCACACTCTAGTCTAGCTCCTCGTTATAAAAACCAAGAATTTAAATATGCCGAGTAATGTTAAGCTTATTGATCAAATAGACTTGAGGTATATCACGAGCTTCTATCATGAGCTCATGAATACTTAATATGGAGGACCCCCGCTGATACATAGCTAGATAAAGTCCACAAAGATTAGCTGTTATTACCACTCAAAAATTGCAAATACCTCCCCCATAGTTCATAGGGAAGAAGGCTAAAAAGAGATGACCACCAAATCGCTAGCTCCCGAAGTAAGCTCCCGCACCCCATAGGTACATGTACTCTAGTACCCATACCTACATGTACATGTACCTACATATGCTTTGATATACTTATCATCGAACTAAACAGATAAGTCATCGCCGCCAGAAAAGCCAATATCGCCATACCCCCTGTTCTGCCGCCCTAGATTTCATTTGCACAACAACCCCAGAACCTCTTATCATCGGGAAAGTCCATAAACTCGCCCGGCCTATTATCGAATACTACGTCTATCAATCGCCCGTAAGTAAAAGTAGGGACCGGTCCCTGAGAAGAGGGACTATGGAGCAGAGCTTTGATGGATACGCACATTCCCTCAATGAAAGTATGTCAAGCAGCGCCGTCAGGCAGCAACTGATCAACCTGATTAGACAGAGCAGGATGAGTACTCTAGGTCGTCATCTTCAGCTTTTAGGACTTTACTCGAGAAGGCAGGGAATACCTGCAATGAGACCAACGGGCATCTCAAGAGGGTAAGAACCGGAGATAATAATTCTTTGATGAAAGCTTCGAGGCCAGGTAGAAAGTTTGGGGGCTGTACTTGTTTTGTGTGTGTGTTTTTCTGCTACCGCGGCCGCAATCATTGTAAAATGTATATTCGTCTTCTGTTTGCCTTTCTATAACGTCCCTCATGCCACACCTAACTATTAACCATGACGCCTGTTTCTGCAAATATGGTTTCTTTTTTGAAATGTACATATTATGATATGTACCGTTTGGATATGAAACCTATTAAGCAGTTTTGAACTATCCATCAACATCGGCAGATATTGGCACATTCTTCAAAAGCCTTTTAATTCCCTTTTCGGTCCTTTTAACAGCACCCCCCCAATTCATTTCTGAAACATCTTCCCCTCTTCCCTCTTCATCGTGGTCTGTATCTTTAGATATCGCCTCTGTGAGTTTCAACAAGGCTTTTTGTTGGGCATCACGCAAAGCGGTGATAGATAGGTCTCCATCCTGCTCCCATCCTTCTCCTATGACGAGGTCCTGGTCAGCCACTGTGATAAGTATATCTTGGAGTGATCGAGTAGATGCAATGAGATTTTTCGGAAGACTTGGAGTTGATATCTGAGAAGCGAGAAGTTGTTGGCGGTCTTGAGCCAGGTTGGATGACGACCCCGTTAAAAGTTCTGAGAAAGAAGAGTCCAAAACCTTCTCTAGAAGCATGGCGAGGTTTTCAGCGAAACCGATAGCATTGTTCTTACTAGGAACCGGTTATTTGTTACCGAAATCATGGAAATTTAGAAGGATAACTGACATCTCGAGTCTTTGCTGCTGTAGAAGCTTTATGATGGTTTCTTCCTTGTTTTTTATTTTCTTTTTGAACTTGAGAGTGCTGTTGTCGGATTTAGTCTTCTTATGCTTCTTTATCTCTTTCACTGTAATCCTTAGTAAATAGAATACTTGGCTAATGACAGCAAGTAGGAATTTTTCTAACGTTTTCTTTCGAATAACATCATTTCTCTTAATAATGCACGGTGCCTGTCAGCATGAGTGTGATGAATTAATGTAGCCCAACGTCGGGATACTGTACTGTTGAGAACGACTATCTTCATAATCATCATCTTCCTCATCCTCTACTTCTCCTTTGTGATTTTCATCCACATCTACTTCGATTTCCTCCTCGTCTATTTAGGTATCAGCTTCATTCAGAATCTATTGCCTTATTTACGCTTTTCTGGGAACTAACCAGCAGTGGTCGATTTAGACTTTGGTTTTTTTGCCTTGGGTTTGCCCGTTTCTTGCGCATGCTCTCTGTCTTTATTATTTCATCGTCTATCAGAAAATATCTGCCATATTGTCACCACGAATTAGCGGTAACGTACCTGGGCGTTTCCGTTTTGCAGGACCACGAATAGCCATAACCGGTGGAAGTGTGCAGTTGCGTTGAGAATGAGCTGCGGGACGTTGAAATTGCCTTAATGGTGTAAGGTGCAGCCCAGATTAGTCAATTGACCCTAGCCCACTAAATGTGCTTACATGTATACATGTATAGGACCTCTTTCCTAGCGTCTCGCTGATCCCGACACTGCGAAATTGATTACGGCGGGCCGGGGATCAGATCATTGATTTCGAGGCTCTGCGGGCCGTACAGTGACGTCTATGCTTGGCAGGCAAGATATGAGAATTCGAAGTTAAGATACATGTATCTACATATGTAATGTAATATAATTCGATCCTGATAAACTGTTTGCTGAAAGAATATGCCTTTTTATAAGGATGGAATTTATCTCCATAAGTCACTGTTTAATACCCCAGTAAATATCAAGGATAAAAGGGAACCCACCTAAATATTTAGATATATATAGTCGGTACTTAAGGTGATATATATCGATATCTACAATAGTACATATATGTGCATTTACTCACAGGGAGCTATATATGAATACTGAATGTGTACCCTCTGCCGACTCAACCGTGTCATGATGTCATGAGAAGTGAAGTCTCTCCAACCTCCTAGTGAGTGAAATCTAGCCATTGGATTGCTTTGCGCGTGTCAAGTTCGATGATCCGTCATCACATGCACGTTAGAAGTTAGGTGAATGTGAAATGATTTCTAAGTACCGCACCACTTATCCCCTAAACTGTCCCGAGTTTCACGGCTTTTTAGCGCTGGCGATCGCCCCAAGCAGGAAATCAGGATTCCCGGAAAAGCTTGATACAAGTCACAACGCTTCACGGCTAGATCTAGAGGGTACTATTGATACCCAGAGCGGCATTAGCAACAAATAAAATCTTGATGTAGTAATACTGTTGCCCACCATGGCTAAACATTCGTGCCTTGAAAACAGAGGAAGGGATTTCTGCCCTACTATATCGGGGTCTGGATCCGGCCTCAGTAATCTCTGCGCGCCATGGACTCTTTGGTGGTTCTTTGTAAAAAGGTGTAGGTACGTACCGAGCCTGAATGCTGTTCGAGTGATAATTTATGATTAGTAAACTTTGATATTAATGCCCGGTTTGATTCATGTCCCTTTCTCGAGCCTCGATGAAAACCAATTTTAACGTGGATCATTAATTTCCAAAGTTAACAGGTTTGGATAAAGGCCAACGTTTGCCCTGCATTGAGGGAAAATCTACCATGTGTGTGTGCTGTAGAATAACACGCGATGAGTCGATAAGTCGATAAGTTAGGCTTGATCACACATTTTGCCAACAACTGAATGCCTAGCCTAACAGTGATCAAAGCTTTGGTTGGGTCTTCCAAGAGCCAGTCCGGTGGGAAACGAGAGGTGGTAATAGTGAGTAGAAGAGACATCGCGAATCATATGATGCCAAATTATTACCGGCAAGACTGCCTTAGACAGCACAGATATGATCATTTGCTGTTTTCGAAAAAAAAGCAAAGGATTCGAGATGAAGCACATCTTACCATCTTGGACGTTCCAGAAATTCTTAGCTGGGGATCCTGGGTCAGCATAGAGTGTCACTGTAACTTGACGACACGGCAAATTGGATACATGTAGACATGTAAGTAGGTACATTTATGGATGGAGAACAGGCCCCACGCCTACGGGTGAAAAAGAAGAAAGAAAAAGACCTTCCCAGTGCACCATTGGGTGGTAATTATTAATCCAGGGAACCAGATTATCTTGTGAAGTTTTTATATCGCTAGATTTTGGAGGCACATATTTCCCTTCCATATTTTTTCGTCGAAAAGGATTGTATCTACAATATCCTAGGGCATCGATCGAATGTCAACCCTGCGAGAAATGACGCAACTGTCACAATTGTGTGCGCTAATGACCCTTGCATATGTGCACGGTGGCGTACGACGTGCGGAGAACAGTCAAACAACACAGCAAGTGATAAAGCAGCATAGAAATGGCAGGATGTACTCTAGTTTTCGAGTAAGATTATCGCCAGAATACCGAGATATTCGGCAAAATTTAAAAGAGCACAGCATCAACGAGCTATTACGAGTTCCAAAGGTCGCAGAGGAACCAAATAGGTACTAGGAGCCAAGAAGTAGGTGGTCTTTCACTGACGTCTTGCGCTTATCTCCATTTACTCTAAAGCCACAAGAGCGCATGGACTAGGCTTTTTCTTGTCAAGTCGGCCTTTCGATCTCGTTCTCGACCTCTCTAGATCTAAACAAGCAAAGCGGAGCAAGAAAAGCACGCGCCCACGTCGTTGTTGCTTCCTCCCCGCCTCCCTTCTTGCTTCCCTCTCATAACCCTCCTCTCGCCCGCTTATCCCCCGTTGTTCCCGTGCTCGCTTTGAGTTAGAAAGCCCACTAGCTACTACCATCTCTGCCGAGTTCTGAATCAACTTACAGTACCCTGAGCTACTCTAAGTCTGTGACACCACCTACCATATCAATTATCCCCCAGAACCAACCCAGCTCACAGAAATACTCGAAGGTTCCGATAGTAATAAAGGTACAATTCCTGAGTTGCTCCTATTGTACATAAGAATATTTTGTTCTGTTTTTTGCGAGTCCTGCCGTTTGTTTGACGCTTAGACGTTGTTCAGACTATCTCTATTCTACCATACCATACTTACAGAGAGAGAGAGAAAGAGAGAAGGACCTACACCGGTTCAAGAGCCCCACCTTTCTCACCCCTCTTCTGAACGCCTCTTGCAACACAACCCCTCCTCACCCCACTGCATCCCTCATCTCTTGCTCTCACTCTCTTCATCGTGTCTGCTGGGAAGAAGTAGCAGGCTCCTAAGAAATTCGACACACATAAACCGAGTACCACGTTGTCACTATTTTCTTTTTCCATCATTTACCCCCTATCCCCCTTCCTCTTTCATTTACGGAAAAAGAAAACCAAAAACCAAGTCCCTCGTCAATAAAAGCATCCGTCTACCAGAGTAGCGTGCTTTTTTTTTGCCAAGGTAGCCCCACCCAGACCACACAATCACTTTATTTGACGGTGGCTTCTATTGCTCACCCGCCCCAGCAGAGTGAGTGACATCTCTCCATCCCATCCAAGCAGCACCCCGTTCCAGGGGTCCCCTAATTCGAGAAACTCTCTTCACGTTGGAATCTTCTTTCCTCTGATACATTCTGCATCTACCGCTATAGCGTGACAACAACATCTTTACACCTACATATTCAAATCTTTTGTTTCCGGAGTTAAACTCGAGATGCCTGCAGTCGAAGTCAAAGAGAACATAGTCGTGGTTGAGGACAGAGAGAGGGATAGGGATAGGGTAAGCATCCTAAGCTGCCATTGTAACTTGAAAGGGTGGGGTACTGACTGCAGCAAAGCCGCCTACAAACATCGTTAGCATCGAGCAGGAGAATGTTGTAGAGGATATCTCTGATATCCCCGAGGAGATAATCGATAGAGCCACATTCGATCAGATTCTAGAAATGGATGATGATGAAGAACGTGACTTTAGCAAGACGATTGTGTTCGGGTTTTTTGAACAAGCCGAGGATACATTTAAGCAGATGGAGAACTCTGTGTACGTTTACCACAATTCCTTGTGGCAATTATATTCACACACATATTAACACCGCGACGTACGTTGTACACCTCAGGAAGGCGAAGGATCTTTCACAGTTGTCTTCCCTCGGCCATTTCTTGAAAGGCTCCTCGGCAACCTTGGGCCTCACAAAAGTGAAAGATTCATGCGAAAAGATACAACACTTCGGAATCAAGAAGGACGAAGATGGCACACATGACATACCGGACGAGAGTGCATGTCTAGAAAAGATCAAAAAAACTCTGGATGTTATGAAGGAAGACTACAGGCAAGCGGAAAAGTACCTTCTCAAGTTCTATGACGATGCGCCTTGAAATTTAGAGTTCATGGCCATCTGTTATTATTTTCCCTTTGTTTTTTGGGTGAGGTTTTTTCTGGCTTCGAGTTCTGTTTTCAAAAGGTCCTGTTCATTTCGTACAAGCACGCACTTGGGGAAGGACAAAAAATGGAAATTGAGTTTGTAGTAGTTCTCTCACAACCCGAAACAAGCTTTGCATGGCTTGTAAAGAAAGATGAGAGACTGCATGGCTTTGTTTGAACCCAATACTGTTTCTTCTTCCTGGGGTGTTGTTCATACTCCCATCTTTATATATCTTTCTTTTCCTTTGTTCTTTTTACTCGAGCATGTGTTGCTTTCTAAACCTGGTGTTTTTGGTGGTTTTATATGAATCCTCATCATGTTATTGCGGAGCTGGTCTTCCTTATTTTTCCTTGGCTTGGTGAAGTGCCTTGGAGAACCTTGCCCTTTTGTCCCCTCTTTACTATATCTTTATGATTGCACGCGTGAAAGCGGCACTTCGGGCTACCTGTGGTCATCCATTTGATGAAATACACCCTCCCCCGAAGACATTAGGTATCAACAACCACCCCTTAATAAGTCAATTCAAGCACCGTATGTGGAATCGGGTTTGCACATTACACTTTATTATACCCAGAGATTTGAATCTTCATAAAATCTATCGCATATATATAAATTTTCAAGACCAGAAACTCTGCAAGTGTGGCTTAATCAATCAATGAGCCCTTTTGTGATGCAATACGATAACACGCGATAAGGCTGCCACGATCCCTCCTTGGCTGATGTAATTGCGCATGATCCCGTGTGAGTGGGACGGGATATTTTGATTCGCAGCACCAGGTGGGGTTCCCGACTGTTTGTTCCACTTTGACTGTCGGGAACCTTTCTGACGTCGTAACAACGAGCCGGTGAGAATAGTAAAATTTCAGATTTTATTTATTTCGACTTTATTTCATAGCCGCGGGCTCTGCGGAGGGGGGTGGCTATCGTGATAACAAAGGTACATATCTACGTATACACGTATAATTGTACTGATTATTTAACTCGGGTTCAACGAGCGCGGGATAAAACGATTGTGGTCTAATATCAGAGTTGACGTTTACTTTTTTCTGACCTGTGAAGGGGAGTATGTATGTTTTATGAGTTGAGGGATGTCTAGAAATCTTCGATGGCCAAGAAGTAAAACTCACATGCCAGTAAAGTAGATGGGCATGAGAAATCTCTGATTTGCCTTGTTGCCGAGGGTCGTACAATCCTATTGTTGGCTAGCTGATTGTAGTGAAATACCATATACTTCAGCGTCTTAATATTAATTCTCTCTCCGAGGGTTGGACGGTGACCCAGTGTTAGAAGAAGCGTGTATTTGCTCTACCTTTTGTACGCTTCCTGGGATTGGATATAAGGCTGTGGATGAGGCGACAGCTAGAGTGTCTATGACATCTATGGCTGTCTCGGCCTGCAGTCTGCGGGAACAGTCACGAGTACTCCAGAATAGCAAATGGAGAATTACGGCAAGCCGCATGGAGATGCAGTGACGGGTGTGTGCATAGTCCGCAGAGTACATGTGCTCCACTACATTGTGTGTTTTTGAATGGGAGACGTGATCATATTGGACAGAGATGTGGAGTACCTAGTATACCACAGGCCAATGATATGTGTTTAGTCTGAGGTAAGTATGAAAATTTGAGTTGGCAAGAACTGCACAGGATCGAGACCACTTCAGGAGGAGAGAGGTTCCTACGTGCCTAAGTCGCAAATCATGATACTGGGGGCGGGGACACGACAACTAAAGACAGCCGTAAAAATAAGGATTGAAAATCTGACTATATACGGGGACAAGCGGAGGCAGCGGCGGTCTCCGATATAAAGCTGGTATTACACCGTGACCAAGTCACCGATAGCCTTCCCTCTGAATTCCGACTATCCAGGGAAGGGGGGAGCCGAACGATTGAAGGAGGTGTTTCTTTTTTACCCTTACTCTTAACGGTGATCACCGCTGATATCTGAGGCACTAATGTCAAGTAAGCCGAGTTAATTCTTCTATGGGCGAATGATTACATCTAGGTATATACATAGCCCTCCTGGTAATAGGGCATGCTAGTAATTAGACACTACTTCATGGATTCTGATTCGGCACTCATCTGATTCGTCACTATAATAATCATGGAGTATGACTCGGTTAGATGGAATTGTATATTAGAGCGATTTGGCCAATCCCTGTTTTTCAAATTTTGAACTCAAATTTTGAGGTCTTGGCGGGATTTTCACCAAAAACTACTAAATACATGTACTCTAGGTTTACACAACGGGAACATCGGGCCTGGACAGCTTGCTGACTAACTTCATGTAATATTGCAGGTCGCTCCCCCCGGAGCGGCAATCCCCGGATACGTAGAAGGAAGGTGGATTGCCATGGTATCCCTATCAGAACGAGAAAGTAAAATTGTCTAAGTTAGACGAAACGAAATATTAAGGCACAGGCTGGAGTTGATAAGATATCTATAGATCGATTAAGGTACAGAATATCTCATTATATGATTTAGTGTGTCTCTTCTACCGTCCTCCGGCCGTGGTCTTTAAAAGCTTCAGCAAAGGCTGTCCGTGTTAACGTTTCTGTTCGTTGCCATAACTTAGTGCGGGGTACTAATCCCGCCACCGATAAGCATTGGGGCTCTTAACCCTGATCATCATTACCGGCCACTAGACACGTGCACTACTACAGGGTCACCGATAACTGGCCTAGTTGTACCTCACTCGCCACTTCAGAGCATACATCTATATATTGAACAAAACCCGAGTTTTTATTTCAAGAGTGCCTGCATCCCTATTCATAATGGCACCGGGACTTTTAAACACTCCAGCTCCAGCTCTTCCAGGGAGTGAGCTTGCATCACTTGCTGCTGTTACCTCTAACTGGGACGATTCTGTCCAATTTTACCTGAATGGCACGAAAGTAGTGATCGATTCCATTGATCCGGAGATTACTTTGCTTGAATATCTTCGAGGCATTGGTCTTACTGGCACGAAGCTTGGATGTGCCGAGGGGGGCTGTGGAGCTTGTACAGTTGTAGGTACTGAAAGAGCTTAGGAAGTAGGGTTTTAGCTAATAATTTGAAGGTCGTATCGCAATATAATCCAACAACAAACAAAATTTACCATGCTTCTGTGAACGCCTGTCTTGCGCCCTTGGTTAGCGTGGATGGAAAGCACGTTATCACGGTGGAGGGGATTGGTGACAGCACAAAACCACACCCGATCCAGGAGCGCATTGCAAAGTTTCATGGTTCACAATGTGGTTTCTGTACACCGGGAATTGTCATGGTAATAACTCTGCATCGCCACCCACTTAAGAATAATTTCTAATATCAGACTTTAGAGTCTCTACGCACTTGTCCGGAACAACCCGGAACCTACAGCTCATGACGTTGAAGAAGCCTTCGATGGAAATCTCTGCCGATGCACTGGATATCGACCAATTCTCGACGCAGCTCAAACTTTCAGCGTAGAAGCTGGGTGCTCAGAAGCATCAAAAAAACAGAACTCGGCTCCGGGTGGTTGCTGTATGCAGAGCACAGACGGGACACTTCCAGCTGGGTGCTGTAAGAATAAATCAGCGTCTGGGCTTGAGGACATCCCAGTAAAGAAATTTACGCCACCGGGTCTCATCGAGTACAAGCCTGATACAGAACTGATTTTCCCACCGGCTTTGAGGAAACATAAATTCAAAGCCTTGGCTTTTGGCAATAAGCGTAAGAGATGGTTTAGGCCAGTTACTTTAGTGCAGCTTCTTGAAATCAAACATGCTCTACCGTCCGCAAAGGTTATCGGCGGATCCACAGAAACTCGGATTGAAATTAAGTTCAAGGCCATCCAGTACACTGTTTCTGTCTATGTCGGCGATATTCCAGATCTCCGACATTTCTCATTCGAAGATGATCATCTCCATGTTGGTGCAAACATCACATTGACAGACCTTGAGGGCGTGCTCAAGCAAGCTATTGAGAAATATGGCCCTTCGAAATCTCAACCATTCAACGCTATGCTGAAGCAGCTGGAGTACTTTGCTGGTCGCCAAATCAGGAATGTGGGGACTCCTGCGGGTAACCTTGCTACCGCTTCACCCATATCGGATCTTAATCCTGTGTTCGTTGCTACGAGAAGTACTCTGATAGCGCAGTCTTTGGAGGATGGTGAGATGGAGCTGCCAATGTCTGAGTTTTTTAAGGCATATCGAACCACAGCTTTACCGGCAAACGCGGTACTCAAGAGTATCCGGGTGCCCATCGCAAGCGAGAAAGGCGAATTTATTAGGGCTTATAAGCAGGCAAAGCGGAAAGATGACGATATAGCGATTGTCAACGCTGCTCTTCGAATTTCTCTCAGTGACGACAATGTCGTTGAATCTGTGAATCTAGTATATGGCGGCATGGCACCAACGACGATCGAAGCCAAGAAGGCAATGTCTTATCTGGTCGGAAAAACATGGGGCGAGAAGGAGGTCTTGGAAGGGACGATGAATGCTCTTGAGCAAGACTTCAATTTGAGGTTTGGAGTACCGGGTGGAATGGCAGTTTATAGAAAATCATTGGCGCTTGGATTCTTTTACAGGTTCTGGCATCAAACTGTTGGCATTCTGACCGGTGATGTTGAAGAGGAATTAGTACACGAGATTACCAGAAACATCTCTTCCGGAGAGAGGGATCAGGATAGCACTCTTGCGTACGAGCAAAGAGTGCTCGGGAAAGGCGTGCCTCATGTAGCTGCAATGAAGCAGGTTACTGGAGAAGCACAGTATACGGATGATATGCCAAGGCACACCAACGAATTATACGGATGTTTGGTTCTTAGCACAAAAGCACACGCAAAGATTTTAAGCGTCGATAGCGAACCAGCATTCGATATTCCTGGTGTACGCGCGTGGGTAGATCATCGGGATCTGGAAAGTCCAGAGTTGAATTGGTGGGGTGCTCCCATGTGTGATGAGGTGTTTTTTGCCGTCGATGAGGTTCACACACACGGACAGCCTATTGGTATGATCCTAGCGGATTCTCAACAGCAAGCTTCTCTTGCTGCAAGATCTGTTAAGGTGGAATATGAAGAGCTCCCGGCAATCCTTACAATTGAGGAAGCCATTGAGAGGGAAAGTTTCTTCGAACACTATAGGTACATTAAACAAGGAGATCCTATCGAAGAAGCGATGAAGACGGCAGATCATGTATTTACGGGGGTGGCGAGGATGGGTGGCCAGGAGCATTTCTATCTCGAGACAAATGCATGTCTCGTGGTACCCAAGTTGGAAGATGGCGAGATTGAGGTTTATAGTAGTACTCAAAACCCTACAGAAACGTATGTCATATCCGCGCTCCCCAGTGGCTTGAATTCGTGGTTTTTAATATTAACATTATCTTATAGTCAGACATATGTCGCTCAAGTTACTGGTGTTCCGGCAAATCGCGTTGTTGCAAAGGTGAAGCGTCTTGGTGGTGGTTTTGGTGGCAAAGAAACAAGATCGGTTCAACTTGCAGCAATATGTGCTATTGCAGCAAAGAAGACCAAGCGGGCAGTCCGATGCATGCTGAATCGGGATGAGGATATGATGACTTCCGGACAACGACATCCATTCATGGCACGCTGGAAGGTTGGCGTCAACAATGATGGAAAACTTGTGGCCCTTGACGCCGATGTTTTCTGTAATGCCGGATGGTCACAGGATCTTTCCGGCGCCGTGTGTGACAGGTCATTATCACACATCGATAATTGTTACAAAATCCCAAGCGTAGATGTCCGAGGAAGGTTATGCAAAACAAACACGATGTCGAATACCGCTTTCAGGGGCTTCGGTGGCCCTCAAGGGATGTTTATCGCTGAATCGTATATGGAAGAAATTTCAGACAAGCTAGGAATTCCAGTACACAAACTTAGAGTAAGATATCCAACCCCATTTGGTGCTTTAGAATCACTCTAACATACCTCCAGGAACTGAACATGTATAAAGAAGGGCAAACTACACATTATAACCAAGAATTGAAGGATTGGCATGTTCCAATGATTCTTGATTCTCTCAAGACAGAGGCAGATTTCGAAAAACGTCGTCAGGATGTCGATGAATTCAACAAAACCCATAAATGGAAGAAGAGGGGATTATCCTTGATACCCACCAAGTTTGGTATATCTTTTACGGCAATATTCCTTAACCAAGCTGGTGCCTTAGTTCATATCTATCACGATGGTTCAATTCTCGTTGCTCACGGAGGCACTGAAATGGGTCAGGGTCTCCATACGAAAATGGTCATGGTTGCAGCGGAGGCACTAGGTGTTCCTATGGATGCTGTTTTCATCTCAGAAACATCAACAAATACCGTGGCAAACACGTCAGCTACGGCGGCATCAGCATCTAGTGACCTGAATGGTTATGCTGTTTACAATGCTTGCCAACAACTCAACGAACGTCTTAAGCCCTATCGTGAGAAACTTGGAGACGCAACCATGAAAGATCTTGCACACGCAGCGTACTTTGATCGGGTTAATTTGAGTGCAAATGGTTTCTACAAAACACCAGATATTGGATATGTCTGGGGCCCAAATATTGGCCAAATGTATTTCTATTACACACAAGGCGCAGCGCTCGCAGAGGTGGAAATCGATACACTGACAGGAGACTGGACATGTCTAAGAGCGGATATCAAGATGGATATCGGAAGGAGTATCAATCCTGCCATTGATTATGGTCAGATTGAGGGGGCCTTTGTGCAGGGACAAGGACTTTTCACAACAGAGGAATCATTGTGGATGAATAATGGACAACTGGCAACTAGGGGGCCTGGAAATTACAAGATTCCTGGATTTAGAGATATCCCACAAATCTTTAACGTTAGCATGTTAAAGGACGTTGAGTGGAAGAATTTACAAACCATTCAAAGGAGCAAGGTAAGAACTCCCTCAGTACACAAATCCCAATGCTTCGTCTTATAACCAATAAACATAGGGTGTCGGTGAACCGCCCTTGTTCATGGGTAGCTCAGTATTCTTTGCGATCAGAGATGCTCTCAAGGCAGCTAGAGCTGACCACGGGTGCACGGAGGTTCTGAATTTGATTTCACCAGCAACGCCTGAACGAATAAGACTTTCGTGTGCGGATGATATTATCAAGAGGAGCTATGTTAAGCCTGAAGAAGGCGAAAAGGGTTTCTTTGTTAGTATTTAAGCTGTAGCCGTTTCTATGGGTCTAACTACCGGGGGCTCCCTTCTTTATATATGTATACAAGTAGTTTCCGGCCTTCGGCCTATATGTATATCAATCAGTCCAATATACAGGCAAGCCGCTTTGCGGCTTATTTGTCTATTTGCCTGTCAGTCGGGGCTCTCAGGCCGCTGCGCGGCCCTCGACCCCTCCTGGCAGGCAAAGTCCATCACTATATCTAGATCTGATCTGGTCAATATATGACTTTTCTGATATATTATCCCCATATATCAACAGATAAGTCAGACAATTTCTCCAGTTAAAACTACAGGTATATCCCTTTAACAGCTACCAAACCGCTAAAATCGAACCACTATCAATTCCCAGAACCAGTAGCAACCCTATTAACATTCTAACACCACTCAGCACAATACCCTATGTTAATATCCAACACAACATGTTTCAAGTGAAACAAAAAACATCTCTCAATGAACCAATCAGAAGACTATAAAAGCACATTACATATGCAGGTTATAATTATATACTTATTAGATATGTAATAACGCACTTTTTTACTTTATTAAGTCAACTCGAGCGTATAAAGATAACTATATACCCCTCATAAGAGTAGCTAGTAGTCACCTTGTAATAGTATGGTCCACACTTTATTAGTCATTTTATATGACTTACAAACATCAAACGCTTAAAAATTCACACCGCTCTGAAATATATCTTTAACGTGTTGCCTCTGGGAGGATGGTAGGGTTAGGGCTATATGCAGAAAGATTGCCCCCCCCCCCTTTTTTTTAACTCTCCGTTTATTTATAGCTCTTACTTAAAATGACAGTATACCTAAAATAACACCAATCTGAAAATTATCTACAGTGGTAGCTTATGGAAGGACTAACGACATTTCGTACCCTTATTACTTCGGTCGTCATTTTTTGATTCATAGGGCCTACAGAGTTAGGATTCAAATAAAAGATATGCCCAATATCAAACTGCGAAGCAAAGTCTATGTTTCCCTTTTCTGTGAAGACTTCCCTGGGAACTGGTATAATTATCACCAAGCGGAACCCGCATGCAATTAATGAATTAAACAAAAAAAAAAAAACCAAGCGGAACCCAAACACGTTCTATCACTCGCTCTCAATCGGGCGAGTCTTGGCAATAAACTATCCATGAAGATTATTCTCGGATAGACTGACTATTGTGCCTAGGCCAGTGGTTCACGATGGGCACGAGACACGAAAAAAGAAAAGATCAAAAGTGTATTCCAAGTCTGTCTTATAAGTTACTAAAGAAGGGACCATCGTCATCCTTGTTCTCTTGCGAACTACATACACACAATCTATCCTACAACGGCAACAGCGATGGCTCACCATAGCCACCCTACAAACTGTTGAATTAAATTCCCCTTTCCAAAACAAAACAAAAAAGAAAAAGAAAAAGAAAAAACGTTGATGGGAGAAAGAGAAAAAAAAAGTAAAGCTAGAGAAATGACGAAAGATAAGAGAAATACCGCGATCCGTACGACACATGAGTTCATTTACTTCCAGACTTCTGTTTAGATGACGATCGAGAGTTCATGCCTTAACAGGTGATCTTCATCGAGATTTGGGTAAAAGGGCACTAAGCAGTCTGCGCTCTGGACATATGCATTGTTATACAGTCTCCAATAAGGTGTCCTCACTTTTCTTGCAGGATGGAACAACCCCGCCCAGACGTAGTTCATAACCAACCCAGGCCCGATTGCCATCCTGATTGCGTCAATGGCCTCGATTATCCTGTCGATAACGTGAGGTGATGTTTCGAACATATTTGGGTAAAGTAAGTTTAGCAGATGCATCATAGCATCCTCACAACCAAGACCAACGACACCAAGTGCAACGTGTTTGACAACCGACGCAGCAGTCTGCCTGTGCACTTGGTCGCGGTCGATAAGTGCATCTTCAAGAAGAGGAGTAACGGCATAGACATAATCTTTCGCCATTTCGCCGATGTACTCAAAGAGGAAAGAAAGTGATTTTAAAACACCATTCTGGACGTTGAGCTCAGGGACACGATATTCGTTCATAAGGGCAGGGAGTACAGTGAAAGGCGCACAGGTTTCTGCGACGATACCAATGGCGACTGCTGTACAAACTCGAGATTGACGTTCTTGAACCCTCAGATTGTTGAGTAGGGTGGCCAGGACATCTTGGGGACCAATAGCTTTGGCGATAAACCCTAAAAATTATTGTATAAGATCGGTGTATATGAAAGAGTGTGGGGGAATAAAAACCTACCGAATGTGTTGTTCGCTGCTCGTCTGATTCCCTTCTTATGCGCCTTCAACATATCCAACAATTCGAAACAAATTCTCATCCATTCTCTCGCACTTACGAACTCGGCACCTCGATCCGCAATTCTACCTACCAGATCAATGGTATTCTCCTGCACTTTTTCGTGTCTGTTTCGAAGAATAGGGGTCAATCGAGGAAGGAGATCCTTAATCGGTGGTTGCATGCTATTGATACCAACGACAGTAACAATAGACCTGAGTGCGCCTAGAATGGAACCCAAAACCTCAGGATACTCTTCCCCAAGGTACTCGTAAAGTACGACACCTAGTTTACCCATCAGAGCATCTTCTCCGCATTGTTTCTAATTGCTTAAGGTAAGTCGATATCCTACGTCAAAAAAAAAAAAAAATAGCGGGGGTTGACATACCATAACGACAGCAATTCTCGAAATCAGATCTGCACTTTGTTGTCTGACAGCTGAACTCTTGTTGTTCAATCTCCATAGGATTGTACTGACAATCTGCGGAAGGTACGGCTTACACCGAGTACCCAGAGCATTGACAACCGTTCCAAATCCGTTAAGCATAACAATATCCTCCATAGTCTGTTCCTGGAACGCAAACAATACACCATCTACCAGTCTTTCCTCTAGACGTTCACCAATATCCGCCGCTCCCAGAGAGGCAATGACCTTCTCGACACTCTCCAAGGTCATTTTACGGTATGGCTCACTTTCATCCTTAAGGTGGTCAACGATCCGCTCTATAATCTCTCCACACCCGACTTTTTGAGCTAGATCAACTGTTGTCTCTACCACTTGACGATAATTCCGTTTATCAAGGGCCATCCTTCGTACCCAGAACGCCTTGAAAAATTCAGGGAGTACGTTCTCCTTCAGGTATGCCGCAGTCACACCCTCAGTTCCCGCACACTGGCTGACAACCTTCAAAACAACCTTTTTCATCTCCTCATCAGGACTCTGGAATTCTCGTAGAAGGATCTCCATCACTTCAGATGTGTAGTAGTTTGCATACTCCTCGTCCATAAGGGGTATGATGTATCCAACCGCCTTCAAGAAGCCAGCCAAACCCTTTCCACGCTGCTTCTTCGCACCAGTCCACAGAGGATTAAGAATGGTATCGAAACTCTCAATACCGTACGGACTAGCTGCTTCTGCCAATGCCGCAATGGCCAGACTGGTCACAGTACGAACCTTGGCCTGCTCGTCTTCCAAGTTCGGGCCAATACACTCTACCAAGCCCTTCAAGTGAGGCAAGATAGCACAGCCCATGAGGATAGGAATCTGCTGCACAATTTTAACACCGGTATGCCTCGCTTGCCAACTTTTCTTACTGCGACAGACCGCTCTTAAGAACGGCAATAATGCGGGTATACCAAGCGCTGATGCAACGACGGCGAACGCTCTCGCAGTGGTGTTTCGCACATATTCATCGACGTGATCGATATCAGGTCGCATAGTAGAAATCATGTGCGCTAGACCGGCAGCCTTCGACAAATTGCTGATAATCTCGCGGCCTTCAACACGCGCATAGTAATCCTGATCAATCAGAAGTGGCTCTATGACGACCAGAATTTTATGCACATACGGCCTAACAAGATCATCGAGCTTATAAAGGATACGATCGATGACCTTCACCAATAAATGACGTTCCTGATCCTCGAGCGTCTTCTCCATAAGCAGAGGCAGAATTTGGTTAAACAGCGGACCTGCGCCAAATTGGCGGGCGTTATCAGTGAGTTGACGTAATGCTGTCTTTCGCATGGGAGGTGTTCCATTCTTGACCTTGAGAAGAAGACGCATGATCTTCCTCTCCTTCAACTCCTCAACAGTCATCGCATTCTCATCACCACCGTCAACAAGCTTCCCAAAGTAGGCCATATCCTCTGGCTTGAAGAATTGAAGATCGCCGACCCCCGGAATATCCGCAGGCATCTGCTTCCCGAGGATCCTGGCATTCTCAGGTTCCTGCATCATAAAGCCACCGATGCCTGTGGAGTTCATTGGTGCCGGCGTGGACATAAGCTTCCTTGCTGGTGTACGGATCGGAGCGTATCCCGGCGGGGGTTCAAGAATTTTATAACCTTCGCTAGGCAACATCTCATCGAGCTCTTCATCTGATAGAGGCGCATTCCTGTCTCCATGTCCAAAAGTAAGAGGCATGTGAGGAACAGGGGTAGCAGAAACAGATGGGTGCATGGGAGTCACAAGTCCCTGGTTTCCAACAGGTGTAGCAGCAGTAAGAGATGGAGCTTGATCCCATCGAGAGCGCTTTACCACTGGTGTTGCATCTGGAGCAGCTGCAATGTCCCATCTGCTTGCTCGTGGCTTCTTGGAATCTTCTTCCTTGATCGCCACGGCACCTTCGTCGCCTGCTACATCCCATCGCTTCTTCTATAAAGTTATTAGCAAAGTTTAAAGGTTAAGCCTGGGCAATAGCACGTACCCTCTTCCTTGTACCATCAGTTGCAGAGCTCTCTCTGTCCGATTCTTCTTTTAGGCTTGCTTTGTACTCGACACCTTCCATCCGGTCAGCTCCGTTTCCCTCTTTTTTCATTGATTCCTCTATTTTCCGCCTAACTCTTTCCTCCTCCCTTTCAATTTCCTTCTCCTGCATGACCTCCCTATAGCTTCGACCCTCGCCATCTTCCTTGAACGCGTCTTTTCGTGTTGGCGTCAACTGTCTTTGAAACCTTCGCTTTTGGTAGTCGGTCTCTCTGTCGGCGATCTGGGCGCCCTTTGCCTTTGAAATCATGAGATCGGTGTCGTCATCGCCGGCGCCAGCAAACTCATTTAATAGCTCTTTAGAGGCTGTATACTGGCCAACCAACCTGCGTGTGCCGTCACCGCCAGCCATATCCACATCATCATCTTCTTCATTTACAGGAATGGAAGTGTTGTATCCAGCGAACTTGTCACCGCCAGCGCGGTCGTAAAGGGTCGTATCGAATGTGTCTGTCAAAGATTGTTTGGAAGATTCACGCTGCGAGGTAGGATCAAAAGTTTTTGAACCAGGCTTTCCGGCCTTTGCCGCGTTGCGCTCCGCCTGGAGGCGGCGAATCTCTTCAAAATCCGCTGGCAAAGAGGGAATCCGATTAGCAATAGCGCGTTAAAGGAGAATGGGGACAACCTACAGTCAGCCATGGTAAAAATTTTGAGTGAAGAATTAAAAAAGTGAAAGAATGGTAGAGTGAGACTGATTAAGAGCCTTTCATATGTCGATATCGCTGATTACTCGATGGAAGGCGTGGAGGAGAGTGAACTGGTACCCTAAGTTCAACCAGCAAGCACAACGAATGTTTGTGTCGAAATGTCGCCTCCCGATTGAGTCTGTTACCCGGACGTCTAGGGTTGCGTCAACTATAGTAAATCGTCGGTGATCGTGCATCGACATCCACACAGCTTAAAGTTAAACACAACAGTACGATCTTAACAAGATGAAATTCTTAGAAGTGAGTAAGAGCTACATACACAACAGTATTAGAGGCTTTCTGCCGGAGTTTTATGGCGGTCATCTATCTAATCTCGATATAACACCAATGTCAACCTCCCGCATCTCCCATAATCATCGATATCGTGAAACAAATAATTGGGCATTAGGCCATATCTACAACATAGGCCTCTTTCACTCTCCATTTGTAGACAGAATTTTTGGATTAAGCTCCGCTTGTCGATGATAATATTCTCACTCGGATATATAATTATCCAATCATTCCCCTTTCGGCCAATGTCGGCACTGAGCACTCTCCAAGCGCCAAGAACAATCTTCAAACATCCTGACCTGGGGGGGGGGGGGGTACTTCAACAACCACATAGTAGTAGATCTCAGTAAAACACCCATCCCCGCCATCCCGTCCCCCTCTCCCCTCATAATAAACACTCCAAGATGCTCGCCTTGAAACGTCTCTCGACTATCGGTGCCCGCGGCTACTCTACATCAGGGTATGCCTCCACCGCAAAGAACCTCCTTATCAATGCCGACACCAAAGTTATTTTCCAGGGTTCGTGTCTTAAATTTTTATATTTTTTTGTTTGGGTTACTATGATTCTAACATGTTCATATAGGGTTTACCGGGAAACAGGGAACGTAAGTTTCATCGTAGTGGGTGGTAGAAAAACTACGTATATTGATATACGGGCATAGTTTCCATGCCCGACAAGCTATCGAGTATGGCACAAATGTCGTCGGCGGTATCAATCCCAAGAAGGCCGGGAGCACACACTTGGATCGTCCAGTGTTTGGCTCTGTGAGCGACGCAGTTAAACAAGTTGGAGGCGAGTAAAATTCGAAATCTAAGAAACTGTATGTGGCGCGAATGTGGGGCTAAAATGATGAGTACTTTGCTTTACAGCGGATGCCAGGTACTACCTCACCCCAAAACCACAAAGGAGGGAATTTTAACAATCTTATGAGAGCATACGAGCATTTTTGGAGAGAGTGGGCAAAATTTCGGGTGCGGGTAGCTGATATTGAATGAACTACGCAGTGCCATTTTCGTCCCACCTTCTGTTGCCGCTGCATCTATTGAGGAGGCCATCGCAGCTGAGGTCGGTCTCGTCGTCTGTATTACTGAGGGAATTCCCCAGAACGATATGGTCCGTGTTGTGGACATTCTCAAGACCCAGAACAAGACCCGATTGGTCGGACCCAACTGTCCTGGTATTATTGTAAGTGTTCGTGGAATTCAATGTACAGAACTATTTAGCTAATCTTCAAAACAGTCACCCGGACAATGCAAAATTGGCATTATGCCTGGTTTCATCCACAAGCGTGGAAGAATTGGGATCGTCTCCCGTTCTGGTACCCTCACCTATGAGGCTGTCAACCAGACCACTCAAGTTGGGCTCGGCCAAAGCCTTGTCATTGGTATTGGAGGAGACCCATTCTCTGGGACTTCCTTCATTGATGCTCTGTCTGTGTTTTTGAATGACGAGGGAACTGATGGTAGAACCTCTCGAAATTTCATTTTTGATATGCAAACTGGGCTAATACTACACGTAGGTATCATCATGATTGGTGAAATTGGTGGTTCTGCTGAGGAAGATGCGGCTGAATACATCACCACCAACAACCCTAAGAACAAGCCAATTGTGTCTTTCATTGCCGGTATTACCGCGCCCCCAGGAAGGCGTATGGGTCATGCTGGTGCCATCGTTAGTGGTGGAAAGGGTGGTGCCGAGTCCAAGATCTCTGCGCTCGAGAATGCTGGTGCTATTGTTGAGAGGAGTCCCGCAAGGCTTGGAAAAGCTCTGTATGAGCAATTCGTAAAGCGCGACCTTTTGTGATCCGTAGTCTAAGGTGCTTTTATGAGGGATATAGAGGAGATGTAGCCAATTTCCCTTTCTATCATTTTTTTGTTTCATTTTCTAGCTTCTCTGCTTTACTCCCTTCTTGTAGTTATTCTCGGGAAATATATACCATGCACGACTTGTTTTGGGGGAGGATATTCAAGGGATCATATTGAACCTCTGGATGGTAAGATGGATTGCTAAGATTACCGGGGCTTAAATATAATTCGAAGGTTTTTAGCTAGCAAGCTTGGTTTGTTCATAGTGTTGGAGACCCACGAACGGCCATGCAGTCTTCTTTATTGCAGTTTATTACAGTCAAGAATGAGATATAAGAGCTCCCCGCAACCTTGGCTTATCATCAAACCTTAAAGCTCGAGCTCTGTTATGCCATCAGCCCTTATGACCTTAACCAGCAATCCCTTGTAATCTATCGGCAATCTCTTAACCAGCTAGATAATCCGACCACTCGTTAGTTTATTTCTGTAAAGATACTATCGCCGGGTGGGTGATTAATGGGTGGAGTTAACCAACCTCTTCGTGGCACATTCTCAACAGCTTCTGTCCTTCCTCGAGCGTAATGTTCGGGTTGTGGTGCTTGTCAAGAATGGAAAGACAGTAGTACTGTGCATATCCATGCGCTGAATAAGGTGTGCGTGCTGACGCCGCCAAGTAATCCAGCCAGTAAAGATGAGGCTCGTTGGTGTTTGTGTCAAAACCGCCGATAAGAAGGTTCACGTAGTAAGGTTTCTATCCGAACGCAGGTCAGTTACTAGTAGGGTAACTAGGCAGTAGGAGGGTCTTGGATATAACGGTGTTTCGGGGTAGATGTAAAGAAGTGATAGAGAGCTCATACCCTACTCCTTAGACTCTTCGCCAACTCTCTCCGAACAAAGCTTGCGACGGCACTCGGCGAAAGCTGCCATTTCGAGTTATTCCTCATTCCATATAGCTGAACGTTCGCCTGGATATATTCCGCAAACTGGACTATCACATTCTCCCCGCATCAGCTTACTTCTTTATGGCCCGGATCACCACAGTACAGAAGGTGAATCTGGCGGGCGGAGGGGTAAAAAAGGTGGGGCTAACCAGTATCCCCGGCTTCTCCAGAAAACGCCATCAATGTATGCGGGTTCAAAGTGCGGGTCTTGTCGTCTTCCTCTTTCAGGACTGTTACGCCGCGCATGGCGGCTTTGGATGCCGCAATGAGGACGAAGTCTTTCCCGGTAATGCCTAGAAGTACTTCCCTATGAACATGCAAAGATGATGATGTCAGTCAATTAATCCAATAACATTGGATATAAGATGAGCACGAACATGATTACAAGATGGAGTTTGGAGATAAACGGTGATGGGGGATGATTCTGATGATAGTGGTGGTTGTGTGGTGGGGAGCTTGTGCGTTGAAGTGAAGTTACCTACGTTTGTAGAGCTTCGGTCGATCATGCTCCATATTGTCTTGGCACCTCACGTCTGCCCCACTTACAGAATGCGGAAATACCCAGCAATCCTGAAATAGCTCAAGAATCAAACCAATTCTCGATTATTGTGATCCAAATCGCCCCCTCCCGAGAATATCCTCCTAAAATTACCTTTGAACGGTCCTTGTAGTGAGACCCATCGCGGTTTCGATTGCTATGATTCACCGAGTGACAGTCTATGATCTTAGCTTCCAGACTAAAAATACATGTATTATGTGGCTCGGGGGTGATGGCAGTGCAAGAAATCTCGATATTGACAATACTAGCACTCTTCTGCAGTTTGATATCTCTCACGTAAATTTATTATACATGTAGTCATTCCGGGTATTTTTGAATCTTATTACTGTTACAGGCTGTTACATTCAATTTTTATCCTTCCCGCCGCAGCCACCTGTGTATAAAAACTATTTGCCCAATTACACAACTCTCCCCATTTAGTCCCAATACTTAATAACATTGTCCAGCCCTGCACTTGCCACCTTACTGGTCTCTTGTGGATGCCACTGTGCTGCCACGACTGGTCCATCGCTAGCCTGAAATTTATGGTACATTTTACAAGTCTTCCAATCCCAGAAGCACAGAAACCCACCAGAATCACCGCTCATCAGGAACTGGCCGTCAGGAGAAATGTCTACGTCGATGGCATAACCGGCGTTGTTGTGACCACGGAACACCTTCTTTCGGTTTTGACGGAATTTATCTGTTGCAGCATAGACAACAACTTGGTTGTCGCCAGACTGATAGGCAACGTATTTTCCGGTAGGATGTAACGATGCGCGAACCATCGAGTACATATATGGCTCTGCAATGAACTTGATGGGTACCGGAATACCATATTCCCAAGCACGAAGGGATTTATCGTCAGATGTGGTGATGAAACGGCGATTCTCGTCAACAAAAGTAATGGTATTGACAGGCCCGAGATGGTGATCGTATTCTTGGGCAACCTCTTCTGTGCGTGTATCAAACTGAATGATCTTTTTGTCGCTCATACCTGCCAGGAACTCATGGTGCAGGCTAGGTTCCGGGTTAAATCGGATAACATGTGGAATCTTACCGGTAGTGTATCGATGGATACATTTCCCGGTTTCGGTATCCCAGAGTTTCATGTAGCGGTCATAGGATGCAGTGAGAAATTGAGTACCATCGTTGTTGAAAGTTATGTCTGTGACCGCCTTTGAGTGACCATTGTAGGTACGAAGTAACTCACGATCATGATAAACATCCCAAATCTGCAGAAAAGTAATTAGCATGATGCAAGCAGTGATTATCTTTATGCAGAAAAATTACATACCTTGACCTTTGCATCACTACTACTAGACAGCAAGAGGTGACCTGCGCCTGGAAAGAACCTGAGGGCTGTAATAGGTTTTG